ACGCAGGCCGAGTTTGGCATGAAAGACTGAGATCCCATGTCTTGTGTGACTATCTGCTTCTGAGACAAGCAGCTAAGAACTGATGAGGTGGTGTGTGAGTGCACGGAAGGGTGCAAGATACAGATGTTAGAAGACAAAGAAGGAAGGGCTAACGCCTGGTGCAAGAGGGTCCCTTTCCGCAGACCAGTCTTGCCTCTGTCCTTTGCCTTCTGATTGTTTCACGCCCTGTCTGTGCTCTCAGGAATATCTGAATTGCTTCACTGGTCTCAAATGTTCCACAGCTGCTGTTTTCTTCTTAAGGCCTGACGATATTTTCTGTTGGTTTCTTTCCCTCCCCTACTCTAACTTCCACCATAATTAATGGCAACCCGACGTTCCTTCTCTGCATTCTGGCAATGCAGTGGCGAATACCTCTTTCTCTACTACCAGTCACCCCGCTGCAGATTAGAGTCCTGCCAGGCCCAGGCAAACCTGTGAAGTTGGCTCATACTTCAGTTCTCTTTGAGCCCCTCCTTCCGTCCTATTGCTTCATTTCTGGGTTCTAATCTTTCCCTTTACTTTTGCTTGGTCAGAACCCGCCTGTGACCCAGCATCCAGGCATTGCCCTTTGCTGGCTCACTGCACTATTCTATGCACTTAACAGTTTGCATTCATCCGGCCCGTGTGTTGCAAAACCACGCTCCTCTCCCAGACCCCTTTGCCTTTTGAGAAAAGATCGCGTTGGATGAGCCACTAATAGTAGTGATATGTCAGTTGTCCATTGAAAACTTTTAAAACCTCTGAAAGCATCCTTTGTTTGGTAACTGACCTACCTACCTGAGCCCAGCACAAAGAAAAAGCGTTCTGGAGTGGCCCTGTCCCCACTCTCTATGTCGTCAGTTCTTTGTACCTCCGGCAGCTCTAAAACCCTACCTGGACCTTTAGGTGCTCTGCTAGCATTTGCCATGTGTCCATGAGAGAGCTGGTTTAGAGGGAGGTACTTCAGATATATATGGACGCTTAACTTGTTCATCTAATGAGATGGTTTATAAACTTTTTTTAATCAAGTTATTAAATTACCTCTATAACACACTCAGCCAAGAAAATGTTAAATTGAGAATATAACAATGGTCCTCATAACTGCCCTTCAATCTTAAGAAAGATGCATTTGTGAAACCATTAACTTAATAGAAGATGGTAGAAAATATGTACAGGTTACATAGAATGGGAGCCTAACAGACCAGTTGCATACACTGGACCTTGAGGATTGGGTTGTTGAAGGAAAGTTTCATAGAAAACTTTTGAGTTCAGTCCTAAAGGATGGAAGGGAAAAAAGGATTTCACACCAGGTGAGCCAAAGCACAGAGCTATAAAAAGTACTAGATATGTTCATGGGACACTGTCCCAACAGGTGTGATTAGAACAGAGGACATGAAAGCTCTAATGAGACACGGGCAAACATATTTGGAGGTTAGAAGGAGAACGCATTTGGTGCTTGGCTTTCTTACCCCTGATTTGCCTCATGGTGAGATGTCTCAGGAATGAGAATGGAGCCATCTGAAAAATAGGTCCCAGAAAGACTCAAGTGGAATATTTAAACACATCTCTAGCTTTTTAGATTTAGTAGTGCGTTTGCCCATTTACCCTATTCATGATAGAATACTAGATTCAAGAAGAATGCATTTGGCATCCTAATTCAAGAGTCTTCATTTTTCAGTTCTAAGTTAAAGTATGAAAAATGGGATTTGCTGACTTTATACAAGTGTTTATTATATTCGTGTTGGGACATTAAATATACCCTCATGGTAACAAAACAAAACTACATTATAGTAAAACTAAGGTATGATAAGGATAATAGCTATACTATAGGCAAGTACTATTTAATCACATATAATGAGTATTCTAAATTCACTAGAGTACCAAGTTCAAGGTGTATGGGTTGGAGGGAGAAAGCACGAACACAAAATGCATTCAGTTTCTTTTTTTTTTTTTTAAAGATTTATTTATTTATTTGACAGAGACACAGCGAGAGAGGGAACACAAGCAGGGGGAGCAGGAGAGGGAGAAACAGGCTTCCCGTGGAGCAGGGAGCCCGATGCGGGGGGCTCGATCCCAGGACCCTGGGATCATGACCTGAGCTGAAGGCAGACGCTTAACGACTGAGCCACCCAGGCGCCCCTCACCCCCTCCTATCAGGCTCCTTGCTCAGTAGGGAGCCTGCTTCTCCCTCTCCCTCTGCCGCCCGCCCCCGTCTCTCAAATAAATAACATCTTAAAAGAAGAATAAAGGCAGCTTTATTGAGATAATTTCCATACAATAACATCTATCTATTTAAAGTAAATAATTAAAAAAAAAAGTAAATAATTCAATGGCTTTCAGTATTTTCACAGGTAAGTGTAATCATCCCCACAGTAAATTTTAGAATATTTTCATCAACTCAAAAGGAAACCTTGTACCTTTTAGTTACTCTGCCCCCAACACTCCCTAGCCCCAAGCAACCACTAATCTACTTTCTGTTCTATAGATAGAAGTATTTTGGACCTATATGAAGGGAATCATATATGGAATCATGTGGACTTTGTATCTGACTTCTTTCCCTTAGCATATTTTCAAGGTTCATCCAAGTTGTAGTGTGTATCAGTACTTTGTTTCTTTTTATAACCAAGTAATATTCCATTGCATGGATACACTGCCTTTTTCAAAATGCCAACCAACTCAACTCAAACTGAATGTATCAGTTTAGGTGAGCAAGAAAATAAAAGCAAGTCAAGGGAGACAGGTCTGGGAAGAGCACCCAGAGAAGGGTAATTCTTGAAAACAGCCTGTGATGAGACGAAAACAGCCTGTGATAAGACGAAAACAGCCTGTGATAAGACTATTGCTCTCTAGAGGGGCCTGCAAAATGGATTAAAAATTTGTATTTATTTATTTATTTATTAGAGAGAGCAGAAGTGGGTGGGGGGCAGAGGGAGAGGGAGAAGCAGACTCCCTGCTGAGCAAGGAGCCTGATGCAGACACGGGGCTCGCAGACACAGGGCTCGAAACCAGGAATCCCAGAACCCTGGGATCATGACCTGAGCTGGAGGCAGATGCTTAACGGACTGAGCCACCCAGGTGCCCCCCCAAAATGGATTTTCTTGGATCTCAGGGTAGGTGTCAAACATACACTTCAAGGCAGGCTTTCTGCCCTGGCCTTATCATGGTCATCTTTATCAATACCAGTAATGTTTATTAATCATGTACTTTGGGGCGCCCGGGTGGCTCAGTTGGTTGAGCGACTGCCTTCGGCTCAGGTCATGATCCTGGAGCCCCGGGATCGAGTCCCACATCAGGCTCCCTGCTCAGCGGGGCGTCTGCTTCTTCCTCTGACCCTCCCTGCTCTCATGTGCTCTCTCTCTCTCATTCTGTCTTTCAAATAAATAAATAAAATCTTTAAAAAAAAAAATCATGTACTTTGTATTGTCCTAAAAACCATAAAGTAAATTAGTAAAAAGACAAAGGGCTTCCAATCTAAATGGGAGACAGGATACATGCATAAAAGAAAAGGTGAATCAGTTGTGCCCTCTACACCTGCTTTTAGTCTTTTCCTATGTTGTCACCATTTGGAACATTTCTGAAAAAGGAATAATGTGTGAAAAGTAGCATATGCTAAGTGCCAATGATAAAATGTGCTACAGGGATTCAAAGAGAACCAGCAGGGGGTGGGGAGTGGGAAGGGGCGGTGAGACTTGAGTTAGGCCTCACAGGAAAGATAGGTAAAGGCGATACAGCGGAAGACACTCCATGCAGGCAAACTGAGGAATGTTTGATCACTGAACAGAACAAAATGGCAAAATTAAAGAAATCTTGAATGGGAGCCGTGGGAGATAGGGTGGAACTGGGCTAGATTGTTCAAGGGTCTGATCCCAGGCTGAGAAGTGAAAACCTTTAGGCAAAATGGCCAGCCATTGAAGGCTTTTTAAGTAGGGACTGATGGGTGAAAATCATGCTACTGTTTTGATGGATAGAAACCAAACTGGAAGCAGAAAGGGCTGTTTTGATGGTAGAAACGTTTTCACCCCAAGCTAGCTGAATACAATACCATTTTGGTGGCATTATTTAATTTTTAATCAGGTTGGTCTTTTGTAGTGCTTAAAAGAATACACTGTTATAAAATAAAATGTAAAGGCAAAAGTACAAGCAATTTAGAAATGAAAGTATAAACTTAAGTCAAATTAGTGGTTTTCACTTTTTTTAGATTAAAACTTTGAGCACATAGTTCAATACTTAAGCACCATAAGATGCGTACAGTGAAGTTTCCCTCGCATCCTGTCCATCTGTCCTGTCTTTCCTTCCCCACCTCACTGGTAACCACTTAATAGTTTCTTGTGCATTCTTCCAGGATTTATAAAAAAACATAAATGCAAATACATGTTCTTATTTTGCCTCTTATTATTCATGGAAGTTAATGCGTTATATGTGTTGTCCTGCATCTTGCTATTTTCTTTTTTTTTCCTCAGGATTTTATTTATTTGTCAGAGAGAGAGACTGTTATTTTCTTTTATGTCTTGGAGACGTTTTGCATCATATATTGGTGTGCTTTCTTGATGACTTAGGTCGGCTCTGTCAAGGATACACATCTGTCACCTCAAGTTTTTTAGAAGCAAAGGAAGAATATGGCCTTGATGTTCTTTAGCCACTGCCCAGTCCATTTGTTGATCGCCATTAGGAGCCAGAGATAACACCACCTGACATCCCTTTAAAACAAGAAGGTGGGGGAGAACGGAACTGTTCTTTCTGTGCTGTGTCCTCTGTCTAAATCTGATTTGGCTTAGATTTGCATTCCTTTTTTCTTTGTAAACTGGCATCTGCTTTTCATAACTACTTTGTGTTTCTAAAGGATATCTTTTGAACAAACACTGGCTCTCTGCCTGGTGTTTCTGTTATTGTAGATTTGGACTTTAATGAAAATGGAAAATTTCCAGTCCTTAAGCTTTTTGCCAGATTTTTAGTTTTGGGCTCAATTAGATTTGATATTGTTTGGAATGAATCCTTATTCCCTGGTATTTAGGTCAAAGATCTCCCCCACCCCTTCCATTTGGTTTTCATATTCACTTCCATTCTGAGTTTTTTCATTATAGGAAGCTTACTGTCTCAACTGCCAATCTCTTTTTCTTTTTTGTCTTCTCTGTTATTCATTTTTTTTTAAAGATTTTATTTATTTATTTGAGAAGGAGAGAATGAGAGATAGAGAGCACGAGAGGGAAGAGGGTCAGAGGGAGAAGCAGACTCTCCGCCGAGCAGGGAACCCGACATGGGACTCGATCCCAGGACTCCAGGATCATGACCTGAGCTGAAGGCAGTCGCTTAACCAACTGAGCCAACCAGGTGCCCTGTTATTCATGTTTTTTATGCCATTTTGTCTGTTGGCTATTTGATTTTGGCCTTAGCCTTCCATTTTCCTATTTTATTTTGGACTATTTCTATCTGAGCTCCTGCTAATAATTTTACAGTAAAAGATTAGTAGGAATTGGGATGCCTGGGTGGCTCTGTCAGTTAAGCATCTGACTCTTGGGCGCCTGGGTGGCTCAGTTGGTTAAGCGACTGCCTTCGGCTCAGGTCATGATCCTGGAGTCCCGGGATCGAGTCCCACATCGGGCTCCCTGCTCAGCAGGGAGTCTGCTTCTCCCTCTGACCCTCTTCCCTCTCGTGCTATCTCTCATTCTCTCTCTCTCAAATAAATAAATAAAATCTTTAAAAAAAAAAAAAAGCATCTGACTCTTGATTTTGGCTCAGGTCATGATCTCAGGGTTGTGAGATCAAGCCCTGTGTGGGGCTCTGTGCTAGGCATGGAGCCTGCTTAAGATTTTCTCTCTCCCTCTGCCCCTCCCCCCTCAAAAAAACCCCCACAAAACATTAGTAGGAATATAGTACTATTCTATGTGTAGCCTGATCTGTTCTAGTTC